AATAATAAACATACCTAAAAAACTACTGTTCATAGCTCATAATTTCAAGATAAAGTTTTTTTTCATTTCTGTTGTTAACAAAAACACCAAGATTATTTATAAGCTGCTTTTTACTTAATGCATGAAAAAGACCAGTTGCAATCAATACATTCCATACAATTTTGTTGCTTTCATGACCCTACTTGACACACCCACATTAACACCAATACAAGATGGTCACAGAGACAGTTTATGTGTACAAGTTGTTGGTGATGCAACACAGTATATCATACAAAGCCAAAAAGACCATGACATTGACACACGACTAATTATGCTTACAAAATGAGTATTAGCTTACTACAGATCTGCATTATTTTCCCTCAGAAAACCAAACTATTTGCATCGCAACGTACATCTTATTCTCACCTCTGCTACTTCAAAAATAATAAATCCATAAACTATAAACTCTTACCTGAGATAAAACTGCAGAATCCAGAGCTGCATAAAAATACTGATCTCCAGCCATGATCACCTGGCCTGGTATGGGTAACTGGAGTCCGCCCTGAAAGGCAAATATCCCCTTAAATCATCATATCAAAACTAATTTTCATAAAAAATAAATGATATTACTGATAACAATAATGATAAATATAAAATTTAAAAAGATAACAAGTTTAATATTTCACTGTAATGAAGACTCTATGCTCAATTCATAAAATTAACATGCAAATAGAAAAATGAGATGGTTTAAACAGGAAAAAACATTTGATTTCTTACCGACACATTGACATTGGTTAGAAAATCTGTTTCTTGTGGAGTCTCAACAGTTACTGTTCCACTGTTCACATCAATATTGACTACATGTGGTGGAGGAGGATTCATATCACTTACAATAGTCTGAAATATAAATTCATACAATATCAATACAGAGTGAATACGCAAAATAGCTTTGGTATTAGGTGGTCTGAAATATAAGCATCTGTCACATCAATTGTTACCTTTTTTATATACAAAATTATTAAAAACCTTTAATATTAATAAAAACAAAAATAAACAAATGCCAAAGCAATTACATTGACTGAATGATCATTTTACTTAAATCATCTTCATAAATAAGAAATTCAAGCTATTGTATTACAAGATTTCTGTTCTAAAACCACAGCAATTCTAATTAAAATATAATAAATATGTTTAATTCAACAAAGAGATTATTGGTCTTCTGGTATTTTTCCTCTCCTTCCTTAAATTCTAACCCCATGCTGCCAGGGATGGCATGTATGTACAGTAAGCACAGTTCCCCACAGTTCCAACTGATACACCCCCATGGTGCATGGACTACATTTCTACATATGCGTAATACCTAGGACTCTCTGAATGGAATGTTCTTGTTTGTAACAAAGCCTGTGATAGATTCAAGATATTTTGCAGTATTTTCACTCACAACTAACATCAGCCTTTGAAATTATGTTAAGTTTAGAAACATTACTTATGTTTTGTCCAATGCCTATATTAGTGCTTGAAATATAAGGGGTTTTCCTTGAAAAAAAAAGCATTTGGAACTGGTGTAACTAGAAACTCCAGCATAATCATAATAGCCAAACACTGAAGACAACATGTAATCCCTAATCAATCTTTGAGATAAAATGTGTTTTGTTAGGAGATATATAAGAGTTTTCGATAATATCTATAAATGTAAAACATATATTTTTTTTAAAGGTAAAATATGAATCATATATTGTTTGGTCTGTAAATGTAAATCTAGGAGTTTTCTCACCAGATTCACTGTCTCTGCCAGGATTCCTCATGGAACCTATGAATGACCATTTTTATAACTGTTTAAAGTGTTCTTTATGCTGACAACTTGTAAGAGCACCAGAATGCACACTCAAGTCACACAGAGTGATTCCCTTTAAATGATTTTAAGGTTTGACAAGGAGAAAATTAGGTTAGAAATTTTGATTGGTTGTCAAAGAGTGTTAATGACGAATGTTATTAAGTACATCCCAGGTCGATATTCATGCGTCTAAAAAAATGTTACACTTAAAAATATCAAATCTCATGTATCCATTACTCTTTCTATACTGAAGATAAAGTTGGACAAATCCTATTACCAATCTTGTCACTGATTTCCTCTGCTAATGTCTATATTTGGGACAATAAGACAAGTTGGGATTAACCCGTGATTGACAAGCTAACTATGCTGTCTGTTGTTTTATCTACTGTATACTGATGAACACTATTTAGCATAAAACATTGCGTTTAGTGGATTTTGAATATCATTTGAAAGGTACTGAGAATATTTACTTTGGTTAAAAATGATAAAAATAAAATTACTTTAACCCACTGCCAACAGGCATGTCATGCCATGCCCACTGTGAGTTTACTTATTTAATTGTTTTCACATATAGATGGTTCCACTTGTACTAAGTCACCAATGAGCCAATTACGAGTACTGTCTGTCTCACCCGTTCACCAATGAGCCAATTACGAGTACTGTCTGTCTCACCCGTTCACTCTTTTCTTTAATTTTCAACATTCATAGCACAAGTAAAAAATACATTTTCCCACCAATTCAAGGAAAGGTGAAATCAGGTAAGGCAGAGCCATCTATATGTAGAGACATTTCACAAAAAATATAAAAAATGAGCACAGCATTTTCCCCATTTTTTGTTCATTTTCCCCGGCGGCAACCATCACTGGTTGCCGTCATTCATTCATTCATTCATTCATTCATTCATTCATTCATCTATTCAGTCAGTTAGTCAGTCAGACAGTCAGTCTGTCTGCCTTAAAGCAAACAAACAAATAAACACACACACAACACACACACCCAAAACATACTCCAAGGCCTGAGGATCAGGCATAGATATATTACGAATATTTTTTTTTACATCATCTAAAATCAGATTCTGCCTTTCGCAAGTTTTTTTGTCGAGTCCTATATTCAAAACATATCATAATTATCTACACAACAAAATAATTCTATTTCCTCCAAATAAAAACAATTTTACTATTTCACTCATCAAAATGTACGTGGCAGACATTGCTTAGGTGCAGTTGTCAGGTCTTGCTACTCACAGAATATTATATAACTACTACACAAGAATTACCAGATATAAATTGTCACCTCCAGACCCGTGGTACATAGTTTAGTTCATTAATTGTCTTTACAGAAAGATGACTCCACAAGTGCTTATAGTCACTTAGTTGATTACTATTACTACCTATCTCATTTGTTTATGCTCCTCCTTGAATTTTGGAAATATTTCATTTCTTCTTATACTGCTATCAGTAATGTTAATATCATTAAAATAATTGCAATATTTATAGTAATAATAAAAGCATCAATAGTAATAGCATCAGTAACATAGATACTTTTCCATATGCATAAAGGCCTTTCGCAAAACATAAATGAAGTGAACATTATATTTACTCAGCAGCACTGGCTTAGTCAAAAAAAAAAGGTTTCATTAACATTAACATTTTTGATAATGAAAATTAGATTCATCACAGTTGTGCAATGTAAAATATATCAACATGATAAGATGACTCACATCTGGGGATGTATTTTTGGCTGCAGTGGTTGTGGTGGTTGCGGTGGTTGTAGTTGTGGTGGTGGTAGTGGTTGAGCTTACACTCTGCCGTAACTTCTTGTTGTCGTTTTTACTGTGTTCGGCGACGTGTGCCAGATAATTGTCACGTTTTATGGTCTTGAAGGGGCACACCACACAGGTAAACATAATGCCATTTCTCTGGGCTGAAATGCAGTTACAAAATGAAAATAAAATAAAATAATAATAATAATGATAATAATAATAATAACAATAATGACAACAAGAACAATACAATTTTAAAAGAACTGTAATAATGTGACAATCATATTAACACTTAGGAAGGAAGAACTTACCAAGGTCCGGGTGCTTGTCCTTGAGGTGAACCTTGAACGTTGTGGACTGGATGGAGGCATAATCACAGTAAGGGCAGCGGTAAGGCCTTATGCCCGAATGCTGCATCTTATGCCTCCGTAACGAGTTGTGGTCAGCTGTCCTGTAGGAACATTCCTCGCAGGCAAAGGGTTTTTCACCTGTAAATGTCAATTTGTCTTGTAAACAGAATTTGTAACGACAAATGAGGTGAGAATGACTAAATCTTCCATGTCGGGGTATAGAACTGATCCCCCCTCCCCCCCCAACTCTTATTGCTTTACACAGACCCCTAAAACAGAAGCTGGGAAAAGAAAACAAGACTCAGGTGCAAAAAAAAATCTCTGGAAAGATTTACTGGATTCAACTTACATCAATGAATATCAGTAGGATATTTTGGTTTCGAATACACTAACATTTGTACAAGTACTGCATCAGTGATTATGAAACAGACACAATGGAAAAATTAAAGTAGTCTCACTTTTTCTTCTTCTTTTACTTCTTTCATTCAACCCTTCTTTCTTTCTTTCTCCATTTCCTATTACATAATCTCACTCATTCACTCAATTATTCACTCTTCCACACCCCTTTTCACACCGTCTACCTCCAATCCTCACCTGTGTGCTGCCTCATGTGCATCTTAAGCGTAGATTTGGAAGCCGTCGAATAGCCACAGTAGTTACACAAGAACGGCTTCACTTTCTTGTGTACAAACTCAATGTGGTTCCGCAGCATTCGCTTGTCTGTGAACGGTCTCTGGCAGGTCTCGCACAGGATCTGCGGCACTTTTAGGTGGAGCGCCTGGAGGGGAGAGGGGGGGAATTACAGAGGTGAAATATATCTCAGTTGAAACCATTACAAAAATACAATAATCTAGTAATCAGTATGATAGACGAGAGTGATAATAATAATTATGATAAAGGGAAGAAGGAGATGAAGGATATCAACAATAACAATACACCAACATTAATCATAATCATAATAATAACAATAATAATAATAATAACAATAATAATAATAATAATAATAACAATAACAATAACAATAACAATAACAATAACAATAACAATAACAATAACAATAACAATAACAATAATAATAATAATAATAATAATAATAATAATAATCATAATCATAATCATAATCATAATCATAATCATAATCATAATCATAATCATAATCATAATCATAATCATAATCATGATAATGATAATGATAATGATAATGATAATGATAATGATAATGATAATAATAATGATAGCAATAATAATAATAATAGAAAAAATATGATGATAATAATAATAATAGAAAAAATATGATGATAATAATAATAATACGTACAAAAAATAATAATAATAAAAAAGAATTATAAAAAGAAAGAGGGAAGGAAAGAAAAAATAACAATAACAACAACAATTATCATAAACAATGAGCAAATACCTTGTGGTTCCGTAATTG